TAACTATGTGTAGCACTCACAATCAGAACTGATCATAAATTACGTACCAATAAAGAAAAGTATGCAACAAAAACGAAAACTTTTCATGATGAGCCAAAAATAATTTCTGTGAAATACTGTTGCTCAAAGCCTAAACGGTGATGTCATAAGGTCGAAAGGGGAAGAGCTGAAGTGAGAGCGCTGCTAGTGTGGTGGTAGATGAGTGAGTGAGTTGTGAAGAGTAATGAGAAAGCAAAGAATCTGGAGTGTTTCGCACTTTCTCATGACAGCACAGCTATTGGAAGGAGAAGGAACATAGAGATGGATAGACAGACATGAACACACACAAAGTACATATCTTCGTATAAACACGTGAAGACAAGCAGACACGTTGGATACGTAAGGGATTTCTTTATAAACATCAGAGTTTAGTCTATTATCAGGAAGATTTTTTTAAAAGCAGGCAATATTGTCTAGAATTATAATTGCGAAAAGAGTGAGAAAAAATTGATAAATAAATGAACATAAAGTATGTTATTGAACGACTAGAAGAGTAAGTTATTTGTCTACGTGAAAAACGTTTTGAAAGCATTTGAGATGGAATAAACAAAAATTACAATTAAAGTTAATTGAAAGTAATGTGCAGAGAAATGGAGTGTAACTGTTACACTTAATTCCTCGTAACGAGTCTTTGCATTGAATAAATTTTTGTAATTGATGTACGGTGGTTTTATGTGTTCTTTTTTTTACGTGAATGTATTATTTTATTATTCTTAAAATTGAATATAATCAATACATTTTGCGCACTACAGAAAATCTTTGTTACAATAATAAAAATTTTTTCTCAAATGAAATGATTGCAATGTTCTCATCGTTCTTGAATACATTTGGATGCAAAATTGTCTAAATTATTAAAAACTTGCAGTGAAAGTGATATCCAGTAGTATCACGACGAGCAATTAATTGCTCAAAATTTCGTACTACTGAAGAAAATCTTTCAGTGCAACGAAAAACAGGAAAATGTTTGCTGTTGGAACGAGTTGCAGCAATGAGCAATTATTGCCTTTTTCACAAATTAAATTTTCCGTATGAACATAAAGTCAATTTCAGTTACTTTACATCCTAAAATTCTCATACAAATTATTAATTTACTTTTTCAGTTATTGCATTCTTTTATAAAATTCATTTCTTTTTTTACGCAAAATCTTTTTCAATAATATTTACGACATACTGTACATGCCATGTTGTTACATTGTGAATTTAACAAGCAATTTTCTAATATTAAATTCATATACCATCATATGATGCAGTTTAGCAGTACACTCACAATTACGCAAGTACAAAATGCTTGATTGTGTGATTCACTCAATCAAATGACCTATCACCTATTATATTTTATAACTGGCAATTTTTGAAAATAAATTCAAAATTTTGTGTATTTATAAATAAATAATACGTGCTCGTTTTTTAAAATTTCAAATTGCATTTCAGTTGAAAACAGCAATCTGATCACATGCAGAAGATATTTGTTAGAAATAGTGCTTGCAATAGCTAGCATTTTGTTGTCATAAAAACTTGCAAAAATCTGAATTCTGACAGTGCAATAGCTTTTTTCATTGCAGGCAAAATAGTGCTTGGATATATTTTGAATAGTTTTATGAATATAATGTTTTCTTAATGCACAAATTAATATTTACTAATAACTAAAAGAATACGAGATGACTTCAAGAAAAATATTGCATTTTAATATCACAGAATTGAATATCTTTGATAGACTAAAAGGTATTCACTAAAATTTTCAAGAAGTAACAATTTTGCTTCGATAATACACATTTGTAAATTAAACGTTCATCCAAAATAGAAAAATGAAAATCGATAAAAATTAAAAAATCACAAAAATGAGTAAAGATTAGTAAAAATTTTGTTTGCTCCTTTTCACCTTACAGTATGCTGGATTAATTTCCGTGGAAATTATTGATTTCGTATCAATCAGCAATTTTTGGAAAGACCTCGACTCTTCGTTACAGATCTCATTTTTATAAAAAAATATTAATTTTTTGCAAAATTCACTAAAAACTAAACATTTTCATCAAAGCAGCAAGTTTTGTGATAATACTGATTTAAGCTCCATGAAAGGGTGAATCTGCAATAACACCATCAGCAATAATTGAATGATCAGAACTGTTGATCCCCTGAAATAATTTCAAGCTAAATGTACTTATATCTATTAAATGACCTTTGTAGAAACATTTGGTCACACTTTTCCTTTTTTAAGTCTATAATTTTAATCAAAAACAATATCAAAAATTTCGGTTATAAAATAAAATTTTTTGATTTAGGCTATATTATACTTTATATTGTAAAAAAATTATCATATTATAGTGATAAAGTTTAATATTTCAGTGATATTTAAGCGTTAGTAATAAAATCGCAAATAGAATAGATATATATATATAGTAGTAATTGAAAACATTTCAAAAAATATTGGTAATGATAACAATAATGATAATTTTAATAACAATAATAACACTATATTCGATCAGCAGAATTGAGTAAATAAATTTACTTGACTAGAAATTTTTTTCCAATGTTCTTTGGCACTCAAATATTTTCTACATCTTACGACCAAATAAATAGCGAATCCCTGAGCTGTAGTGAAGCCAAGCTAAAAAAAATTATTTCCGTCACGTTAAAATTGCAAATATTGTTAAAGTCATTTACGTTATAGTCATTTCATTCTTATCATTACAAATGTTGTTAATATTGTCTTTATCGTTATTGTTATTGTCGCAATTTTTTCAGCAAATGAGTCTTGTAAACAGAATTTTCTGTTCATCACTACTCTGATTCAAGAATACTACCTTACTATTATTATACGTTCAATTATGATGATGCTGCAAGAAAGTTTCTAGGAAGGGTTAATTTAAGGTCGAAAACATGAACTAACTTGAAAAACAATCCAACCAAAATCATATATAATCTGCCCACGGAGTATCTGCAGGACAACCATTATGCTGGTCACAATTGTTATAGCCGAAAAGGTCGCGTTAAGAACAAAATTGGCACAGTAAAACACAAGAAAAGGTGATAAAAACCTTTTATTTTCTTGATGGATGCCATAAAATAACAAATAATGACAAGGAAGTCCAAAGAATAGAGCAAATATCAAGTCCACTAAAAATTAAGGTTATTCAAAATTATCTTTTTAAAATTAAGGCCAAAATTCAAAAATTTTCGAATATGCGCATGGAATAACTCTTAGTTTTGATCACAGATTTCCTCAAATTTTGTACTCATTTCCTGTTGTAAAAATAAATTTGATGACAAATTAAAGCTAAGTTTCATTTTTCAAAACGATTTCACTCGAAATTTTTAAAATGGAAATAGTTTGTGTCATTTTTTTCAAAGAAAGTGATGAAAATGTGATGCAAGCAAATGTTTCCATACATTGAAAAGTTCCAAAATTTTTTGAATTTTAATTATTATTCTAATAAAAAGCTTTTCTTTGTACAATAAACTAGCCTAATTCCAAATGGTCGATGATATAGTTTCGCCCCTGTCCACGCTGATGATAGAACGTATATATAATACAAAATATGATTGTTACTATTAAACCAATAGTTGCTGCGATTGTTGCAGCCAAAACCACATGTATGTTAGTACCAAATAACATGAATTTAGGAGATTTGTCCCGGAAAACAATAATATTCGAGTCACCATTTCTGTAATTCTTGACTAGATTATTTATTTATCTTTGAGGTCAGTACAATTTTTAAGTCACAGCAAGAATTTCTGTCTAAATTCAAGAATAATATTAGTGATCATTAGCACTACTATTTTCGCAAATAAAAATTTTTCTTCTTTTCTTAAATGTACTAAAAACTGAACACATAAGAGAGAACTCAGTTCAAATTTTGTCATATTTCCTAAATTACGAAAAATTTAGTAACACGGAAAACCTAGAAAAAAAAAAAACGCACAAAACGCCAGAGTTACCTGGTTTCGAATTGTGAATAATCAACTTCATTTCCAACTACATCGTTCCACAATCTCTTCAAAAGTTCCATTTATTTACCTTCAAGCAACAAATTTAGCATATATATATATGTACAATACATACTAGCACAAAAACGAGAAAACAAAAAACTGCTTTGAAATTAACACAATACAGTGAAATTTCGTAATTGTAGAACAAAAATCAAAATCTGCAGAATGATCAAGAAGAAGGAAGAAAATGAAATGAATGAAATAAAATTAAATGTTGACTTCAAGAATGGCAATTTCTGACTTGCAACGATCACACGATGCAGCTTACATTCTGCGCATCAAAGAACAATTCATATTATGTCGAAATCGAATCAAGATAAGATATGACTTCTACAATTGATATCTTATCTTGACGTGTTTAATTTCAGTCAGAATTTTTAATTTTAATGCTATTTTAGAGTAAATCTGATATTTCTGATATTTACAAATTGCAACTTTTTTTATACCGTCAATTTGTTGAAAGTATTTTAAGACGTAATGAGATCAGATGTCGTGAGCTTATCTCTAAACTCAAAAGTATACTAAAGTCAAGTTAGAAAAATGCACATCATTCGTGATTACTTACCAGTAATACTTTGAATGAACTTAGGGATAAAGCAAAAATGATCAAAAGGAGCGTAAAATGAATGCGGTGAAGAATTTACTGTAAAGTTTGATCAAAACAAATACAAGTATAATTGAACAGATCAATACTGGCTATATCTATTATGCCAGCTGCCGCAAGTAACCAAAACTGAGAAAAGGAAGACAAGATGAATACGACGAGGTCACCACCGATGTCATTTGCATGTGCGCAACTCCTAAAAGACATGCGATAGCATTCTTTGACACATGTAGGCTGCTCTATTCTCTTCTATTCTATTTTCTTTCGTTCACCTCTGTTTTGTTTCCTTTTAACGCGTGTGGCGGGCTACTAACGTGTTATAGTGTAACATGGCGCACCGTAGCATGGCATGACGTAGCGCGTAGCATGACATGGCGTAGTGTGACATGGCGTGGCATGACATAGCATGGCGTGGTGTAGCATAATAATAATTAACGAACGATAAGTGCTGCTTGCCTTCGTCTGCAAATGTTATCAAATGTAATTCTTCCACTATATTCCATTCTTTTCTCCTTCTGGCAAACCGGTCTTACAATTTTAACGCATTTATCATTTTATACTGTTATTGATTACTTTTTATAATGTTGCTTTTGATTGTAAACCAGCCTTGATAAATCAATTCAATTTTGTTACACGCACACGCAAATACATATACAAGCAGGAACTAATCAGATCGAGTAATTCTTATAAAGAGTGAAGAAAACAAAGACAGAATCAGTTTAAAATCCAAAAGAACACGATCATTCATTTGTTGCATTCATCTCAGCTAAAATGAACTGAAAACAATATGAGATCATGACATGCATCACTCGTTACTTCCTTCCCACGTTTACATCTACTCATTGCATGTTTACGCGTTGCGCTTTTGCCGTCGACACACTGAAATACTATTAATCATATCATCACAATCATCATTACCTTTTAGCAAAATGATTGTGTGTTGCTTGCATCTGCAAGTAATGATAAACAACAATGCTATCATCAACAGCATACAAATTGTAAATGTACCACATCCTCAGCAGTAGCTTCTAGCAATCATTCCTTGAAAAGATACACTGCCAATATCAAATTCATTATCACTATCATTAATGATGTTTTTTATTTTAACTTGCAACATACATACCAGCAAGTGTTCGCTCATTGCAGTAAGTAATTCAGCACAATTCGCTGCTCATACCTTCCAATCATTTCATTTCTATGGCACACTGCAAATGCCCATTGTTGGGCGAGGTGGAGTGCTGTGATTCATTGCAATTAATACTCAGAAGAGACAGACAAAAAAGAACTCCTCAATCCGTCGTCTACTTTCACAGTTCATTCAAATCTTCTTCACTTTTCTTCTTTGCAAACTAACTTTCTTGCACTCTTCTCTCTCACACAATAACTTCTGTAGCATTTCTTGCATAAAATAGCAGCACTGTATGAAAGTGACAGTCACTAACTTCTTCTCTCCTTCAACTTTCTTTGCATTTATTTGTTTTTTATTCAATTGTAAAAATTGATCAAAAGTTGACATTACATTTTTGGGTTTCAGAATTTCAGTACATACAGAAGAGATTATCTGCTTCTTTTTTCAGTAATATCTTCATAACTATATCAATCCTTCACAGAATTATTGCAGATAGCAGTGCAAAATCAATCTCCAACCTTCATTGACTTAAAATGACTCATCTCATCTCGCATAGCAACCAGCTGTGAGTACTGAAATTTGATGTCATTATTGCACACACAGTCAAAAAAACACTGCTTTAGAGGTTTTGCATGTCTTTTGCTCAGTCACTAAATCACTTCTATGTGTTCACTAAGGACAGACATACATGCGTAGATGGCAGCAACCCACTTCACAACTGTTTTTAGAGCTCGCAGTGATATTATGACTTGTGCTGTGGTGTGGTGTTCACTTGGTTTCCAATATTGTCCTTCATTCTCTTTGAAAATTTTTTGATTATTTTGGCAGAAAGTCTTAATGTAATTGTAAGTAATAAGTAGTAAGTGCTATTACCTACATTATATTAAGCAAATATAAGGTCAATTTTCAACCTTCATTAACCTTAAAATGACTCATCTCGTATAGCGTACGAGTTTATCTTTACATAAAAGCTTAATTAGCGATTAAAATTTAAATTTAGCTATGAGTAGGATTGATTTGTACAAAAATCCTTGGTGAGTTTGAGCCACTTAATGTGTCTTTCTTTACTTACTATGTAAATCAGCTCCTTTTTTAATGATAATTCATTGAATTTGTTTTGTATTGCCAACTGTCACTTTGTTGTCAGTGAAATCAGAATATTTCACAAGAGTTTTATTTAAGAATTTCAGACAAATATGAGTGATCGAGCGTTGTGGTCCGAAGTGTATGCAAATACGCACGCTAATCTTGAGGATTTACTGAAGATATTAAAAACTAAGGAAGCAATAGTTCATCAAACTCAGCCTGCACGCATGGATCAAGTAAGTGAATTATACCTCTTTCTTTTATTATAATCGAATTTTATTGATGAATCATCATTGAACAAATAAACTTGTGTAATGATGATTCATTGATAAAAAATAAATAAAAACGTTATTGAAGTTGACTGTGATTATTCATACAACCACTAAAGATGGTATTTTCTATTGTATGCCTTCAGTAAATGAAGTAAAGTTAAACTGAATTGTTTGCAGGTAAAGAATAATTCAGGGGGTTACGTGTTCCAAATATCGGATGAAGCATTCGTGAGACGTTTCTTAATATTGGGGACAGCAGGTGGAACATATTATGCTTCTGAAACAGAGCTGACACTTCAATCTACGAAAAATTTGTGCGAAATAATAGAAAAAGGTAATTTTTGCATTATTCATGTCTTTGTGGTAACTTCATATCACTCTGCTATGTATCACTTATACTCGAAATGTCCCTCAGTTTTGGATTCTGTATTTAGGAAATGGTATTATTTTATTACGTGAAATAATTAAAATTTCACTCTCTGGTCGTGCTCCCAAGCAGAATCCAGCTCTTTTTGCTTTGGCACTTTGCGCACGTTATCAGGTACGACCTATAAAAAGCCAATATTTTTCTATCTTTGTTTTACCTAACACAGTGATTAATATTTGCAAATCGTCATACCAACATGATTGATTGAAGGTATGTGATTGGACGAGAACTCAATTAGATGAAGTCAATCGAACATATCGGAAAAGTTTACAACAACTTGCATTGCTTGCTGTTCCAAAAGTATATCTTTCAGAAATTAAATTCTTTTCATCCATTGCTGTGATTCAGAATTCATTTTGGTGGTGACTATTTTTAGGTATGTCGAATTTCTACTCATCTTTTTATGTTTATTAAATATTGTATGAAAATATCTGGTGAAACAGGATTAACAAAAAATAGTAAAGGCTGGGGACGAGCTTTGCGAGCAACTGTTTCTAATTGGTAAGTGCTCAGTGCAATAGTACATTTTAAGCTTTCATACATATGGAATATAACTCTTTGTTTTTTTATTGATGAACTTTGTTTCCAAATGAGGTAGAGTATTTACTGAAAGTAAGTATTTAGGATTCGATATATCACGAAGTCTGCAAGAATTCTTGATTTAATATGATTTAGGTACTTAAGCCAAGATCCAGAGCATCTGGTTATGCAGGTCACGAAATATCGCAATCGTGAAGGATACACTCATCGAGATCTCTTTCGTCTTAGTCATATTCATCCACGTTTAACACTATCCAGCAGTCATTTATACTGGAAATTACATACAGAATATGATGCTATATTTAGATTTGTGATTGAACGTAAAAGTTGATTATAATAGTAGTACAAGGATGAAATTCATTTTCTTTTTTTTTCAAAAATAAAATTCATTTTCCTCTATTTCGATAGTCAATAAAAGTATTTCCTTGCGAAGAGTTTCAGATTCTGCGAAATCACGAAAATGCAAGGTGGAGGTTTTGAAACAGTCAATGAAAGAGGTCAAATTAGACGATAATGAAGCAATGGATACGAGTGAGCAGGGACCCGATGAAAATAAAATAGTAAAACGAACGTTAGCCAAAAAAAAAAGAGCAGTTTTAAAGGAACAAAAGAAAAATAGTGAAGCTCCGACCATAGAAACATCAAAGGTTTTACAATTCTTAGATGGTTTCAAGTGTCTGCAACAGTTATCTGTAGATGAAGTTGATAAAGCAGTTGCATTAATCATGAAGCATGGTGAGTTTTTCATAATCACAGTGTAAATTCATTGTTTTTTGGGGAACTATATTCTAACGCAATGAGTTTAATTTGTGATTGGTGCTAACTATTTCTAATGAAAGCCACTTCATGATCAGAAAATTTTTTTAGTGAGTGATACAAAAATTCAGAATTACCTTTGTCAAGAATTTTAGGTTTTGTTCGGGAGCATATTCCGGTTGGTTTACTAAACAGTAAAGATATATGGAGAGCTCTTCTCACGAATATGCCGATGACGGCTATGATAAGAAATTTAAGCAAAATGACCGCCATTGGTGTACTCGGATCAGGACAGGAGCAACGGTATGTTTCTGTTATGTAAGAGAAAATTAATGGAGTTTGGCATATCTTTCTTAACTTAAGCAGTTTTTTTATTCGTTTTTCCAGGGATTGGAATCTCATAGTTGTGAATAAACTATTGGACAAGGAAGCTTTGAAGTCAGCTCGCATTCATCCAGTAAATTTGCTTCTAGCCTATGCTACTTATAAGAATGGGAAAGGGCATCGCGGAAAATTGAGATGGGAACCTAGTAAAATGGTAGTAGATGCTCTCGAGCAAGCATTTTACAAATCATTTCAGTATGTCACACCGACTAATAAACGATATTGCTTGGCTCTCGATGTTTCTGGTATTATGAATATTTACTATATAATTCACACCAGTTACATGAACTAATTGTAGACTTTCAATTTTCATAAAACTAATTCAATGCCTTTGCTGCTAATATCATTCTTTCTAAACTTTCTCAGATGTCTTTCACTTATGTGTTTTTAAAATCTTTAGGAAGTATGGCTTCCTATGTATCTGGTGCTCCTCTGAGCTGTAGTATGGCTGCTGCAGCTTTTTCAATGACGTTTGTTCGTACTGAATCACATGTAAGCACATTTTCCATTAGTTGTTGAATTTTAAAATTACTATACCACAGTGACAGAAATGTCATTTCAGGTTAGAAATTTGTGAAAAAGAGATAATGGGCCTACTTTAGGAAAATGTATTTTTGGTGAACGTCTTACAATAGTTTACTGCAATCATTCTTTCTAATGTTGTTATGAAATATTTAAGGTGACAGCGGTGGCATTCTCAGATGTACTCATACCTGTGGCATTTCATCGTGAAATGGATTTAGAAGCAGTTCTTCAGTTAACTGACGAAATCACTATGGGCTCTACAGATTGCTCGTTACCAATGGTTTGGGCTTTGCAAAAGAATCTTCCATTTGATGTTTTCATCGTTTTCACAGATAATGAAACATATTTTGGCAATGTAAGTTTCTACTAATTAGTTACAGCATTCTGAGTTCAAAATTATGAACTTCATGGTTTAGTAGTTTTCAGAAATAATTTGAATTTCTTTCTTCGCTTTATTATCGTTGAAGGTTTATTTTAAATGAAAAATCTCAAATTTATCTCTCAGAAACATAACGGTTTCGTGTGAGATGCGTGCATTAACTTTAATCTTGAGCTCTTCATCTATTATGGGAGGCATACATAATTATTTTACTTGTTCTTTCGTTTCCTTCACATGCGGTTCTATAACATTTGTGCACCAAATGTTCTGAGATTATGATCTCTGGTCGAATTTTTTACTGTTTCAAAAATAAGTAGTTTCAAAGTCCTGTACAAGGGAAGCACAAATTTCTGATTTGGTACTTTCATAACTGAAGCGGTTCATTCTTTAATCGTATAATTTAAACGCAGTTTTTAAAGTTCTGACAGATTTTAAAAGCAATAGGGATGATTGGCAAAACGTTAATCGTTGTACTGAGTGTGATATGCAAATAAATTATTTTACTGATTTAATGTGATTGGCAGTTAATTTTTCAGATTCATCCTTTCGTAGCGTTGCAGAAGTATCGTACAGCAATGAATATACCAGACTCAAAGCTTATTGTAATGGCTATGACGGGAACCAAATTCAGTATAGCTGATCCAAATGATTTGAATATGCTGGATATCAGTGGTCTGGATTCCTCTGTTCCAGAACTAGTCAGTGAATTTGTTTCTGGTAATCTCTGTTGATAATTTTCTCCTACTCTATATTATTTGTCTGCTATAGAATATAAACTCTTTGCGTATGTGAGGTATCGGTTTCATGGTGTTTTAAGTATTGTACATCTCTATTATTAAATAACACAAAAATAGTCTTATTACGCATCGTTTTGTTTTCGATCATTTTCCTACTAAACTGTTGGAAATTTAAATGTCTCAAGCATAAAGACAATATATTAGGTTTTGCATAAAATATGAACACTCTATTTTATTGTAGATTTTATTTGTTTATTGAGATTTTTTTGGGATTTGCGTATATGAAAGAAAAATAACATAAATGAAAAAATTTTGTTATTTGAGCATCGTGATTGCACAATAAAGCAAAACATATACAACAGTTAAGAGTATATAGAACATAGTTATGCACATTCTTTGTACATATCATTAAATGTGAAACAAGGGTAGCTTCTTTTTACTGAAAAGTGCAGAAGGGAGATGAATATAATAGAATTGTGTAGCTTGCATAGGCTAAATGTGGGATGCAATATCTGAGAGAGTTTTTAGATGATTAAACGCTGATAAAGCAATCATAAGGGAATTGTTACCATTTGATTCATGAAGGGTAGGGGTATAGGTGACACCATCTAACAGTGCTTTATCTTTAATTTAAAAACGTGTTTGTATTGGGATAAAGATGCGAAAGTTATTACAATTAGTATTGATGAGTTCTACTAATTCAGTAGAAATTCAGTTTAATTGTCATTGGTGTTCGATTCTGTAAGTATGTATATTCATCTCCTTAACAGTACACAATTATATTCATACAATCATAACAAGTTAGCAAACAAACTTGCTGTCATTGCATTTACAGACATGAGAAGTAAAGGTGTCAAAGTGATAATATTTGCAGTAGCACTTTCAAGAGGTAATTCTAAAACAGCTGCACCTGGAAACCTTTCGTTATTGTATAGTGACCCGTCGCTTTGCTTTGTTGAAGAAGATTGTAGAAGCGTATTTCTTGTAGGCTGATTGCTTTTCCTTACTAATAATATACTACGATTTAGACTTGAACTTGGGAAACTTTCCACTGAAGAATTTTCTGAGTAATTGCGTCCGTTAATTCGAAACGAACTTATCAACGTTTTGCCAAGGCCATTGCTTGTAATTGTTTGAATATGTACAAAATAATCTCGATTTTCTTCCAGTTTGTCAAACTGAACAGTAGTAACTTGAGGTGGCCTGATCACAATTTGATTGTCATTTGTTGTCGAGGCACTAAGAACAATTCTGTAACCAACAGGTTCATTCTCACTTTTTTCCGCCTCCCAACTACAGCTAGCAGAATTATTTTTGGAATTGACAATACAGGAAAGCAAATCTGATGATCGTTGATCCTCACATGTTAATGCGCTTGTTGACGGTGTGTCTGAGCAACTTTGAGTCTCGAAAAAACCTCTGGCAATTACCTAAACTTAAAGTGTTGTTTATCACTTTAATGACTTTAGTTTCAAACATCTGGAAATATTTTGCCATCAAGAATAGTTTAGTTTTTTTTTACAAAAATTTCTCAGTAATAATTACCGGTTTATCTTTGGTACCATTGATAAGTTGAACGTAATATGAACAGATAAAATCAAGGTCTTCTAGTACCGCTACACATTCATTAACTTGCATTTCAGCCCAGTCCTCGCCTGATGGGTCCAAGTCATAATAAGTTAAACGTTTACTGCTTTTTGTTCGACACGTTAATAAACGCCATCTATAATCGTAACCAGCTCTTACTAGCAAATTATGCTGTTATCACTAATCTCATCAGTGCTATAAAGTCTAGGTCAAACTTCGCACTTTTTTCATTTAATTTTGTTATATTAATGCAAGAGTTGTGCCAAGTAACTTATTAAAATGCTTTGTTATTAAGTTATGCTAAGCAAGTATATATTTTTTTTACAACTAACCTCACAGTGTATGCAGTATTTCCCGCCAAACATAAATCACTATTGAACCAACTCACTACCGTTTTCAAATTCCCATCATCGTAGTATGGTATTCTGACATCAAGACTAGCCAGCTTAACATCCTTTTTACCATTATTCAATTCTTTACTTTTAAGCTCATGATAGAATGACTTCTGTTCGTTCCTTGCATACTGTATCATGGCTGTTGCTGCGCTAGTCTTATCAGTAGTACCAGTATCTCTATCATTGTATTTAACTGTACTGCTCGGCACATCACTGATACTTTTTGTTCTCACATAAATAATAGCCTTTTCACCATGTAGTTCACCATCAGATGAGTCAACTGTTGCGTAAATCTGCAAACATTCATCCAATTGATATTGTAAATGAAGAAGCAGTACTATTAGCAAGACGAAATTACATTAAGTACTTGAATTAGCTACTACTCAAAACCTTATCTTACTGTAGTTTATTCATGAGAAATAAAAAAATTACTTCTTTTTTGGTCATAAATTAGATGCTAATATCAAGACGTAATCATTTATAAAACGTGATGATTTCTCTGCATTACTACTTATACAGATTAATATTTAAGATGTAATTCATTGCGCAGATTAACACTCCGTACTTCAATAAGATAAACGGATAAAGGTTGAAGAGGATTAATATCAGCGTATGAATGATATGCAGGAACTACAAGAGACATTCGGTCTTGTTCCATGAAACTATCTTCATTTTCTCCTTCTTCATCATCATCACTTAAAGTTGAGCGCTTCTCTGGCTTTTCTGCATTTGATTGTCGTCTTTTCAGCAATTCTTCATATGCTACTGCTTGCTTGGTGCTTGATCTTTGCCATGAAAGCTAAATTACTTTTAGAAAGTCAAAAATTTTTGATTCAATTTTTAAATTTTAATGTTAGTACTTTCTTGATGCTGTAAAATTTGAAAATTAACCAAGACAAAATAGTTTCAGTTTAATTAGGACTTTGATGAATGTTTATGCAACTAATTCATCACTGCAACCAATTCTTTTCATTATATAAATCTAATGCATTATGAATGGTTAAAATTTGATGCTATCTAATTTTTTGCAAATTAAGTATTTATTATTGGTAATTCTATTCTTACAACATAATTTTTTATTGGTAATTCAGAATGTGGCGGAGTCCACTTGATTCTTTGTTTCCATAAATTTTTCTCGTCCATTTCTGAACTAATCACAGATAAATCTCGAGGTTGTCCTGGTGCTCGAGGCTCTAAATATAAAAAGTATTACATAAAATATTAGCATGATGAATGTAATGATTTGAAAATTATCACTTAAAAAAAAATACTTGAATGACTAGAAATTTATTGAAGATTGCATTTTTTTTTTGTTTACAACTTTAATACCTTTAGAAAGTTTGAATGGTTGACTACTTCTTGAGAATCCTAAACTACCATATGTGTTTACAGAAGCCACTCGAAAAGTGTAATATCTTCCAGGTGCGAGCAAATGCTTTAGAATTGCATACATTTTATTCCTCTAAAATTTATTGCTTATAAAATGCTTTCTAATCCAAAAATTGTTTACAAAAATTAATCCTTCAATAGAATTTTTCATTCTTATTCATGTTAAAATTAATCTTCACGTACAGCAACTATCGTTTGCCAATCACTCATTGGCAAACCATCTTTATGCAAGCTCCAACGCCACTGCACGACGTAAAGATTAGCGTTTGAATTCATTTGAGATTTACTCATTTGTTGCATAACCCATCTCACAATTACTGATCTGAATAAAATATTTGATATTTTTAATTTAACTTTTTTTAATTTTTTGTTCTTGACAGTATTAATTAATAATTAATGAATGAAGTCCACGAGCAAATAATCAGTTCATAAATTGATAGAGTTAAGTAATTATTAGGCAACCAATTACTATAAAATATTTTGAATTGTTATCAGCAAAAAAGGATTAGTAAGAGAAAAATTGCGCAGCAAACAGAATAAAAGACGAAAGTAAAAGAGAAAATTCATACATGAATCCGTGAATCAGTAGTACAAGTAAGAAAATTGCGCAAGGTTATTCTTATTTAGAGTTAGAAAAATTTGCTCAAAAAATTATTTGAATAATTTTTGATATTTTAAGGAACCGTTTTCTTTTCCGTTCTTGAACACTAATTCCAGTTGGAATAGGTAAAAGATTAACGTCCTTTCCACGTGGCTTCAAACATTGTCTGCTACAACCAATTTTGCAACACTTTTTTGTTTCCTCACAGTCGCCATCCATATGACATAGTGCTGAGCATTCCTAAAGTACTTCATCATGTTCTTTCTCTACGTGAAATCAAATTCATACTTTACTACTAATTCTCTTTAAGAATTCATCTACTTCTTTGTACCTGCTATACTGATATATAAGTAATTAAGTGAGTTTTAGAAATGTAAATGAAGGCAGAAATGCAAATAAAAACCTCACATTGAAAGGAGCCGAAACTGTACTGTTTGGACAGTTTCCGGGCTTACTTCCGTAAATTTGACGTAAATACGCACAAGACTGATTGCATGCTTGAGGTTCTTTTACTTGCTGTAAAGCATAACATTCACAATAGTGGCAAATGATAAATTTTTGAATTTTCTCTTATTGTAATAGAAATTAAGACAGACCATAAATGAAACTATTTATAATTAATTTAATAAAATTTTCGGGTGGACTGGTCAGTAATAATAGTGGAAAATTAAAATTGTGATTATTAACAAATTTACCTTACAAATATTCTCTTCACATTCACTAATGTCCAACAAGTTCTCTTGACATGCTGCAGTGCACTAAAAATTTGCATACAATTACGATCGTTGCCATTTGAAGAGTAGAATGAATATTCAACATTTCATAGAAAAGAAATCCTGTCTAATATTTTTATAATTCCAATATTTTATGCCTTACATCTAATTTCTGATAATATTTCAACTCAAACTACCACAAATCATAAATTTTGAAGAAATTTCTTGCCTTGTCTTGTAACTGTAAAATTTGTTAATAAAATATATTCTTGCAGCAATGGCTTTTTATAATTTTTATTAGTAATACAATTTGCTGTAATTTATGAAGAATAATGATATAAATTTTGAATGATTAACTTGTGAGATAGAATCAGTCAGCACTTTTCAATGAAGGATTCAAGCAGTGTCAATTGTAGCGATAAATTGGGATTGATTTTCACATTATCAAAGCATCGAGTTGAATTTTGCAGAAAATTCATAAAATAAACATATTTATATAGTTGCTAAAAAAAATGCCATTTATCTTAGTGCTATTTGTTGTGTTTGCTCTTTGCTACTGCAAGCCTTCACAACAGAATTTATCGGATTCTTTTTTTAGTCAAGTAATCATCTAAATCATATAATTAAACTAAACATCAAATCAATCTTTCGAGTAGAAGAAATTTTCAAAAGAAGCCGTCTTTATGTATTCCATTTATGAGAAATCTCAGTACTTGCTTGATAATCATCCCACAGTTCCTAGCATCTAATTCCTGTGTGGGAATTATTAGCAAAATTATATGCAAATTACTTTGATATGAAATGATAACTTTTATTAGCAAATAACTTCATTTATTTCAAAAAACATCATTGTTAAAATTTTTACTAGCAGTGGACTTCCTCAATGATAACAGTCAAAAAGTTGCTTTTCATTTTTTAAAATGTGATGCTAGCGTCAATAATTGGGATTCTAAAAATAAGAATCATAAATAAGTAATTTTTTTTAAACAGAAATTGCATGAAATCTTGAAGGTCCAATTTTGATATATCCCAATAATAGTTTTATATTTATTATGTTTCAAATATGGTATTTCATTATTTCAATTTAATATTTTATTGATCGAAATTATTACTTACAATTTAAAATTTAAGCAAACTAAATCCCTTGGCATTATGTATAAATATTTTTTAGTAATTACTTTATTTCTTTTAACATAGCCGAAATTTTGTACTGTGTAAATACGAAAAAGAATCATTATAGTAATAATGCGCAAGTGTACTGACCTGTACCGGTTTAGTGAAAAGAAAGTGATCTGTGAGCCGAAATTTTATTACTTAATACTACAAACAACCGTAATCTTTCTTGATAATCTCATCATAAAATCTTTTACGTGACGCCACTTTTGATGAAAATGCGTCCTTGTTAGTACACAATATTTTGCTCAATTTTAATGCAAGCAAAATGTTAGATTCAAGTTGAATCATACAAAATCACTTCTCACTTTGGATTTGTAATAAAAAATATTTAGTCACTTTTATTATATATAAGATATTGAATGTTTTACTTGTGCTTATGCATGTCAAAACTGAAAAAAGCATCCGCCAGTGAGTAAAGATAATATAAGTATAAGTTATACACTTATAAAGTCGGCAAAGAAGGTTTTGTTAGAGGTAAAAATAGTGCGAAGCAAAGTTTATGGTTGAAAAAAAAATTTTATTGCCTTCTAACCAACATTTATTGCTTTGAATAGCAGATGGAATGAAGTACGTATGGAAGACGTGTGCAGGTGTGCTTTTGATAAAAGGATCTCACGTAATAAAGCACTTAAATACATACTTAAATACATAGAAATTTATTTTTGTAAAACAATTAATAACTTAAATTTAGCTAATAACAAATTGAAGCTATTTTGTTTGATACAAATATTTGAATTTTTAGTGCTTGAAAAATTTTTACACAAATTATTTCATTTAATAATTAGACATTTGCAAGATTGTTAATAAATTTTCAGCATTAGTAGTTACAAGGATTCACTAGAATAAATATAGCATATTGTTCCTTGCGAAAGCTATCTCAATTAGACTTTACTCTACTTAATCAGAACAAAAAACAAATCACGGAGTTACTAACAGCTGCTTAAAATGAGCATTTTCATTTTTCAGAATTATCAAGTTGAATTTTTTGACATCAAATATGATGTGAAAAAATTTAAGCTCAATTAGATAACTAATTTTATAATATTAGTGCTTTCCTTAAAGGATCTGAGATTAAGATAGAAAAATTGGAGTACTTTCTAAAACCATATCTAACCTGTGACCTTCACTTAATCTTTACAATGTTCACCAACTATTTTTAATCCTTCCTCAATTTCTTCATCTTATTTTATTATATTTTAAAGGGCTCTTCATTTTGCTATAACAAAAGAGCAAGCTATCTGATTCCTTCACAAATATTGGGAACAATCAGATTAAGTAGGATTAAGACAGTTGTAAGGAAAAAGCCATATTTTCTGGAAAACAAACTGCTTACTGTAGCAATGGAAAATGTTTAATCTTTATATTGCATTGCAAGAAAATTCGTTTTCTTCACAAAAAGAATAGTTAATTTTAATTAAACATAAACTTAAAGTTTTTCAATCGTAATTTTTAATTATCTCTGATGCTATAATAGTAAAACAACTAAAGAGAAGTCTGGCTTATCGCAATTCAAATTCATATGAGCCATAATCGTTGATTTATTCTGAAGAACGAAAACAGTAGGAAATCAAAAGCCATTCAGACTAATGCAAATATTGAAATTAATTTTTTATATCTACTTTTTCCCTCTCCTACAAATACAATCGCTTAATTTTATCAATGCAAATGGCAGTATTCATTCATTTATTCATTCATTCATCAATTTCAGGGTTGTGATCACAAAATCAAAGCAAACCGAACAAATTATTGAGAATTGCGCAAAAATGCGCGGTAAAATGGTGTTTACTCTAAAAGAAATGAGCAAAAAACATGCATAAACTGGTAGATAAAAGTCACCCGCCAATATTTTGTTATCATTTTCAAATTTTATTCAAATTAATTAATTATTAACTCTTAGCATTCCCGTGCATACTCAAAAGTGAAAGTAAATGATTCAAAGTACTATTGTAAACAGTGCTACAAGTAACCATTTATTTAGTTAGAAATTACTTTTGGTACTGTATTTTTTTTTAACGATTTGTTTCAAAACTTCCATTTTTTACATAATTTATAATAAAATCAGTCAATAAAATACCAATGATATAATGCTATTTTTCTTAATTGTACTAATTTTTTGCGATCAAAAACAAATATTCATCGTTGACTGTCAGCAAAAGCTTATTCAGTCACATTTCAGACAAAATTTCTGATTATTAGTAATATGTTAATATATCTCATCTGATCTGATCTTATCTGATCTGAACTACAGAATTAACGACAATAAATTTGATAAGAGGATTAAAAAGATGCTAAATCATTTCCTTTTATTTGTATTTCTTCTTCAATTGCTATTCATATTTGAACCAATGGTTGTTCTTTTCATATTAGTAAAAGCGATCAAAGCTAAATTCTAAGGTCGAAGTAATATTTGTGCTTCGTATTTCAACCATGAAAGCTTTCAGTGCTAAAACTTATACATTTCTAATAATACAACAGAGAGAGGAAAGGGATTAGTCCATGCTCATAAATGAAAGAAAAATTTGTGAATCGTAATTATCACAAGAAAGCAGTCGCACATACTATTGCTACAGAAGTCCATCAAATCCATCAAATTATAAATTGCTCATCAAGTTTTCAAGAAGATTCACAAATCGATTACTTCAAAAATTCAGAATTTGATTTGAGATATTTACACAAATTAACATATAATTCATATATTTATTTGAGGAAACCTAGCATTCTGTGTGTGAAAGTATGACTTTTGATTTGATAAATGATAAATTTGACCAAGCGTTCCGCACAAAGTATTTGATTTGCTTATAATTTAATTATTTTTACTACAGTGCAATTAGTATATTTTGTCGTTCATGCGTTTTCAAGTGCTTCAGAATTGTGTATGCTGAAGAAAGAGAATAGAAGTATTGTCTCGTTTTGACAATTGGTCACTCATTGATAATTTATTAGCAATGAATTAAAAATTAGCAAAGTGTTTATGAGCGAGCGTCAATCCTCTTCATTTTCATTCTTAGCTTTAACACTGATCATCTTCAATCAGATCAAATCAAATCATATTAGATTAGCTCATAATGGATAAATTTCAGATCTTTTTTTCAGTATTTCTTGAATGATTATTCGTAATTAGTATCTGCGAAATGATTAATTTTGCGATGCATACCATATTAATTGATCATAAATTCATTAATATTTTTAAATGTATGAGTATATTATTTACATTTTGCACAAATATTTAGCCTTGAAATTTATTACAGTATTAAGCCAAGAGATGAAAACGAAAACAGCTTTTTGCGGTACTTTTTCTTCTTTTGCGCATTTTTAAAAGCTCATCCCTCAAAGTGACAACACACAATAAATAATTCGATCTTAAGGCTTAGTAAGATGTGACGCGAATGTTAGACAAATCCCCCAAATGCTTATTAATTCATCATTTTTTCTGCTTAAAAACCGAGATAGTTGTGAGGATTAACGAGGGGGTTTACTTGCTTACTCTTTCCATAGTGTTGATGCAACTTTCCTAATTCATTTTCAGCTTCAATAATAGTCAACTTCAAAATTTTCATATGTTTTGAATTTCTAGCATAAAAAAGTCAAAAAAAGAAAAGAAAAATGAGTAGCAATCAAAAATTCAAAAAAGTTGTTAGAAAAAAATGCATAAAATTTGCAGCAATGAATAATTTGCTTATTTTTTTCAATATATTTGAAGATGAAATAAA